GCATCGAGCTTCTCGACCGCGTCGGGCAGCACCAAGAGGCGGCGTACGACAAGCTGTACCAATGGACGCTGCAGCACTGCGGCGGCGCCGAGACCGGAGCCCAGTCGCCTACTGCACCATGCCATGCGCCATCTCGCCGCCCGCCCCGCCTTCTACACGTACGTCCTGCCACGAGCTACCAAGATGGAGACCATATGTAGGCACTGCAAGGAAGCGCTCGTGGCTGCTCGGCGCGGTGCAATTTTGCGCCGCTTCATCCTGGCGCTGACACGGGGGGGTCCCAACGGCATTCCTCGCCCGATTGAGATCCATTCGCACGACCCGGTCCGGTATGCCGGTGATATGCTTGCCTGGGTGCACGCAGCGATCGCATCCGAGCACGAGTACTTTAAAGTACGCGCCATCAAAGCACATTGTTGGATGTACTCTGACGTGCCGCATTAGGTCTTGCTGGACGGGGCCGAAGTCGGCGAGACGCAGCGGCTCGTGGGCCACGCCTTTGAGGGCATCGCGCGACCGCTCGAGGTACCAAACGGACACCACGACCCACCATGTATTTCAGTATAAACGACACGACGTACGTACAGGTGCGCCTGCAGCAGACGCTCACGGGCCAGACCGCGTGTCCTGTGGTGTATCAAGTGGTGCACTTGCTCGGCTTTTACTGCGTCACCATGGCCAAGCTCGTGCCCCAAGACGCCGAGCTGAACACTGTGCTGGTCGAGTAGGATGCTGCGCCGATGTCGTATGAGGCAGTACACGAATATTACATCATCGTAGGTCGCTCGCCCGTGCCCGCACGAGCTTTGAGAAGCAGTGGCAACACCAAGTCGACCTCTTTCAAGCGGCCATGCAGGTATATAAAACGCTTCCGTCAACGACAAGGCATGCACCTGGAATAGGAAGACCGCGCCGACTTTACTCTCGTCGCTGCGCACGCGACACTCGATACGACGCACAAACTCGTAGGCTTGTTTCGTTGGATTTTTGATTTTAGACTGGATTTTGGATTGGTTGCTAGGCAAATTTGCTCGATATTTACCAAAGCGCGCTGCTCCCGTTTGGGGCCCAAGCCGCTGATGTAGCACCTGTCATTGAATGCTTCCTTGTTGCGCTCTCTGCATCCTCCAAGCAACGCCATGCCGACCGTAGCGACGCGCTCGTGTTCCAGCTCAACCAGCTCGGCTGCGTGCACGTATATATGGCACCCGCGATATCGTCCACCTATGGTATACCACGTGTTCTAGGCCACCCTGTCGCGCTACGAGGCGCTTGCAAGCGAGTGGTGCGCCGACCTCTCGCGCGACATTGGCGCCAGTATCGATGCGCTGGCCATCGCGCAGGTGCGACATGTAGGTAGGGCTAGGGTTTCACTTTCAAGGTCGTCTCTAGGCCTCGGTGGTGCTGCAGCGGTGCGCTGTCTCGACGCTCCTCGAACACATGGCCGCGGTGCGCGAGGTACATTACATTTGACAAAGACGATGGACAAGTTGTCATATATGTGCTCATTTGTAGGCGGGCAGCACGATGCCCGGCCTCGACGTCGACAGCGTTCGCATCATCGTGCACAACTTTTGCTCGCTGCTCATGGCGCTCGAATTCCCTGCCATTGAGCGCATCTCGCAACCAGACGTCCGCGACGAGGCGTACGCACGAGCCGCTCGCCGCCTCTGCGATGCGTACGAAGCGATCCACGCGTTCGTGTGTGATCCGGTCATGGGCTACGCCCAGCCATCGACGATCGTCGTGCACTCGCCCAAGGAGATTGAAACCATCTTGGATCTGGCGTCCTAGACGCGTTCAATGCGACGTATTATTGTCCCTTGTGTTGACAGCGCATCGACCTCTACTCTTTCGACGCGTGCTTGACGGGCCGCTCTGGTGGCCTGGAACCGAGAAAACGCAACTGAGAGAATTCATATCAGTTGATGAGGAAGTAAGTTGATTGACGGCCGCAGTGCGGACGAAGTCGACAGAAGCGGTTGTTCCCGAATGCCCACGCGACCCTATCGAATTCATCAAGTGCATCTTTTAGTGCACGGCTGCCCAAGGGCTCCTGCATGGAGGATGCCAGAACTGCCGTGCTGAGCAACGCGAGTTTACATCTATCTATCTATCTATCTATCAATCATCTATCTATCTATCTATCTATCTATCTATCCATGTGCAGTACTGTATAAGAGCGAATTATTCCTAGAACATCACGCCACTTGGGGCAACTTTGCCGACCTCGCCTTCGCCGACCCGTCGCTCCCCCGGATCCGGCGCCTGCTTACGTCAAAGGCAGTGCCCGACCGGTTCAAGTTTATGCTCAAGTACTGGTTCGACATTCGCGTGGGGCCGAGCATGCTTCCGGCGCCGTCGCCGCTGGTCCACGAACAACCGCTTTGGTCCAACCAGTTTCTCCCGGTAGATAGCTGTAGTTACATAGAAAAGACCACAAGATGGCACACTCGATACGCCCGGACGATGGCCAAGATCGGGATCACTCAAGCCCAGCACGTCCACGCCTTGATGCTCGCCGCCGCCCCGACGGAGACGCTCGCGACAAGAACTCAACGCCTCATCCACGCGGTGACGACAAAGTGTCGCGGCCG